ATCACTTGCTATGTTATGCCCATTTTCTCGTGTTCACTTTGCATGCTATGCCTCTTTCCATGCCTTTGCCATGCAATTGTGACCCTTGCTTGCACTTACATGTGATTCGCCATTATGCTACTTTAATGTGTATTTGCATGCTTGGTGGAGATCCTTGTTGCTATTGCCATGTTTATCATGTGTCTCATGCTCCTGATGCTTGTTGTGTTGGGAGAGTCATGATATCACATTGCTATTTACATATGGCCTCTCGTCAATACGTTGATGATAATTTTCCCATATCTTGTTTTCATGATTGTGATATGTCATGTGCATTATTCATGCCCACTATTTGCACACATGACATGATTACCATGATTCCCTCTAGTATGTTGCATCTTCGCACTGCTAGCTTGCTTGACTTGATCGCTATGATTGCTTGCTATGTTGCATCACCAATGTTCCACTATTACTCGTTTTCTTGGGTTGATGACATATATGTTCATGCCTCTCAATTGATTTGTCATGATCATTGTCTCTTGTGTCCATTGGTTGCACCTCTCATATGCCATTGTAGTGAGTGCACCCATGCTATGCTTATTGATCGTGGAGACTTGGACATATTACTTGTGATGCATGCTTGTTTGATTGAGCCTATTGTATTTGGTTGTTCTCGCATCATATGCCTCCATACCATGAAATGCTCCCTTGTCCTTTCTTATGATGAACATGATGCATACACTTGTTGGGTATATTACCACACGAATGCTAGGTGTTGCATTTGCACTAACCTCATTTGTTTTTCCGAGTGTTTGTCATGTTCTTTCATTTTGGAGGATTCACAAGGCGGTGCCGTTATGCGACAACTTGGTCATGCGAAGGCATAGATGATGTGCAACTCCAACATCTTCGGGAACATTCATGAGGTGAACTCCTTCCCTTTGAGCCATCCTCACATATGCATATTGGATGGGCCATGCTTTCATTGTTGTCTCCGTCTTCTTGTCTACATGATACATATATTGGATGGAGGACCAAGATTGGAGATGGACCCTATGGACCTTCAAGTTGAGGAGCGCTCGGACTTCTTGGATGCACCTTCGAACCTCCACTCATGCCACGACATCGAGCATTGGTACATCAACACTCCTTTGACACATTGCACCAACACATACATATTTGTTGATTGTGCTTCCTCATGTCATGCTCGATGGACATATCATAGTCACCACAAGTTTGCACCTTATGCATGGATTGACTCACATTATGATTGCCTTGTTGCATCTTGTATCCCCATGTCATCCATGATATATGAGCTTGTGCATTTCCTTAGCAAATTTGTTGTGATCTTTCTTGATGGCATATTCATACATCATGATCATATTGCCTACCATCAATTGCATGATGACATAATCATATTGAGCATACATTGTCATATTCATGCTATTGATAAACCGTCTCACTATGACATCATTTTGCACCGTGGTTGCATAGATCATATTCACAACACATTTGTGTGCACAATGAATGCTTTTTCTACCATGAATGCTTTGCATATCATTCTATATCATCTTGATAAGCTTCATGCGCTTTGTCACGAACAATCTTGCCGCACGGACTCATTCTTACATGATGGACACTTTGTGTGCGCTAACCATTGTATTTCCGAGTGTCGTTTATGTTTGCTCCTTTTGCATGTATACCACTCCGGCGACACCTTGGAGTACTTGGATTGCGCCATGTCTTCAACTCTGTCCAACATCAAGTCCGTCCACGACAACCGTTTCCATGGTGATGAGGATCATGATCCGAGGTCGGATCTTTCCCAAGGGAGGGGAGATGATGCGGAGCATCCTACGTTCATCCCCATGTACACTTCGACTACTCCCCAAGCCCCAAGAGGACATACGATGAGACCTCGACCATACGCCATTGGACACATGGTGAACTCAGTCCTCTTCGAACCGTCACTTTCCACATATGAGACATGGTCACTACCTCATGCATGGACCTTGCATATACTCAGGTACAAGCGAGACGACCATGGAGGATCCATGGTCACTTCCGGCCTCTGCTCGTAACTTCCGGCCCCCGGACCTTCCGGCTTGCCCGGAACCTCCGGCCCCCGGAGTCCAGACCAGCCCCGAGCTCGCCAACTCTCTGGATAGCCCGGAGCCTAGCCGGAACCTGCCCGGAACTTCCGACCCTGCCTGGAACGTCCGGACCTGCCTGCGGGCAGACACTCGGGCCGAAGCCCATCTACCCTTTCGCCCCTCACTTACCCCTTCGTGGACCTAGACTATATATACTCCTCACCTCCTCCTTTCTAGGGTTAGCATTGGTCTAGCTCATTTAGAGATAGAGCATTGCTCATCCATATCGGATCTACTCCACGAGAGAGACCGCGGCCCCTCTTCGGAGAAGATCCACCTTGGATTCAAGACCTCCTTTACGGAGAAGACCATCATCAAGACCTCCTTCTAGGAGAAGAACCCGGTTACCTTTTGTATCGTCCCTTGTTGACCTTGGATCATGTGTATCTCTTTGTGTTCTTGGATCTAGCGCATGTGTAATCGAATCTTGTTGGTTTGAGTGATTCTCTTGTGTTCCTCCCTGTTTTCCCCTCGTGTTCTTCGTGTTCCTCGTTGGGATCCGCTCCTTTCGTGAAAGATCGGGCCAATAGGGTTCCACCCTACATCAAGGAGGGGCGGCCCCCCTTTCCTTCCTCTCTCCCTCCTCCTTCCCCCCTTCTCCTAATCCAACTAGGAAGGGAGGGATTCCTACTCCCGGTGGGAGTAGGACTCCTCCTGGCGCGCCTCCTCCTGGCCTGCCGCCTCCCCCCCCCCCTTGCTCCTTTATATACGGGGGCAGGGGGTACCCCATAGAGACAACAAGTTGATCATTGATCTCTCTTAGCCGTGTGCGGTGCCCTCCTCCACCATATTCCACCTCGGTCATATCGTAGCGGTGCTTAGGCGAAGCCCTGCGTTGGTAGCAACATCATCACCGTCCTCACGCCGTCGTGCTGACGGAACTCTCTCGTGAAGCTCTGCTGGATCGGAGTTCGCGGGACGTCATCGAGCTGAACGTGTGTTGAACTCGGAGGTGCCGTACGTTCGGTACTTGGATCGGTCGGATCGTGAAGACGTACGACTACATCAACCGCGTTGTGCTAACGCTTCCGCTTTCGGTCTACGAGGGTACGTGGACACACTCTCCCCTCTCGTTGCTATGCATCACCATGATCGTGCGTGTGCGTAGGAATTTTTTTTGAAATTACAACGTTCCCCAACATTTGGTACTGGTGATTGTAGACTGGGTCATTTCGGCAATCATAATGATCGTATTTTCAGGTTTCGTGAATAAAATGGCCAAACTGAACACCAAAGCCAAGTTTAGATATCATAGATGTATTTTGAAATCCTGTAGACTTTATATATTGTACACTTGTGTCTAAAAAATCACCATTGTTTCTTCTGGATAATTAAGCTCCCTACTGAACAGTATTCCATTTGAAATCTAAGTTATCAGATGCGCTAACAACCTAAGATTTATAAGATCATAATAACCATTGTCCCTTGCACTATATCTTCACAAGGACTAGCATCAAAACTAGGAAGTAAAAGAGGTCGTACATGGGTACCACTACCACATGCTCCCTGACCATGGACATGATAAATAATCAATAGCCTTCATTTAGTGAAAGATTGTAGCATCATACAAATAAATAAGACCGTGGTGTGCATCTGCATCCAGTGTACTTGTGTTATAAAATGCGGACTGGGTATCACAGAGCAAACATGATACTACCACGAAACCTATAGTTGTTGCAAAGTGGAAGAAACGTACGAGAGGCAAACCAAGTTGATTGACATGGCTTGGACCTGGCCTTTGGATGTGAGCCAAATGGCAGACTCATGGGACCGAGAGACGTGGGGAACTACTTGTGTGCATCCTCGTCTGTTCTTGCTGACATTCTCTTCCGTCTCCGTTGCTTCGAGCTAGGCTGAGTAGCTTCCTGCAGCGATCTTGCTCTGTTTTTTTCTTTCTTCTACTTCCGCAGTTCTGCTTGCCTCTACCTACTGCGTTCTTCCAATGTGAGTTCATGTGCGGCCAAGAACATGGGAGTACCATGGCACTATCACACAATCATCGTTGGCTAAAGTCTACTTTAAGATCATTACGGTAATACAAAATAATTTCTTCACGGTTATGTATCTCAACTTCTCCCTGATAGGCTTTATTTATACCAGAATTATAAATTCGGTCCCGTATTCATGTCCTCGGCCTTGCTCGAGGATGGAGACGAGGTAGCTGTCTGAGGTGCCACCTCTTGAGCACAGCGCCCCGTCACTCAGCCTGTTACTAACCAAGTGTTGAACAGGTGCCATGACCATACACCCTTAGCCCAGGCGATCTCAGTGACTTACGCAGTCAAAGCCGAGTGCCAAGCAGCAACCGGCACCGCTGACCATCCTGTCGAGCAAGAAGAAGGATTAGACCACCCGCTGGGTGTACATCAGCGACGTTCCGAACGGTTTCCCAAACTCGGAGTTCTCATGCGCCATTGACAGCAAGTCAGCTGGCGAAGGAACATATTGTGGTTATGCTGCTGCAGAGGCTAGGGTAGAAATGAAGTGGTTGCAAGCAAGCTATGCTCTGGCCATATGCATCCACCCGTGATCATTCTAATTCTAGTGTGTCATGTGAAGAGGGCTGCAGTACAGTGCACTACTGTTCAATCCATCTTCACTTTCTGATTATGCTTCACACTTCTGTTTAACCTGTTTTCACCGGGAAGGACCGGCTTCTGCCAGTTAGTTGCAACTGTTTCATCCATGCATCTTTAACAAATTTGTCTAGGGAAAAAGACCATGCCGCCACGAGTGGGAAGATTTCACTCGCGGTACCCGGACACCGTCAAAGCACATGTTAACATCTTTGCCCCCAATGAGTAGCAATGCAAATCCCTGGGCAACATCAGCTGTACATGAAAAATCTAGGGGCTGTATCCTCATCTATCAAACCTTAAGTTTTAATGTTCTTCTACCTGTTACAACAAACACAACAAAAACCGTGGTCACCGCAATCCCGAGACCAAATGAAGCCACTTTCCACCAGGTAGAGCAACTCCAGGACTCACAGACCGCATCAATCCAGTCCTGAAGAAAGAAAATGGCCACAAGCACATAATGAATGAGACCACCTAGTAGTGTTACAAAACTAGATATTGTACATGAAACAGGTTCTAAAATCAAATCGGAAAGGCCAAGATCGTAATGGATTCACTGGCAAGATTGAGATTTGATGATCCATCATTCTTATGCTTAGTATAACTGTTCATATTATGTATACACGTCGATGATGGTGACTTATGTGAGCATACTTCCTTTTGTTTGGTAGATTATATACACATTGTTTGGTAATGCTTTTACCAAACAGGATGTCCCGAGTCCCTGAATTTGGGTACGAAAGGTTGAAGGCCCAACATATCGTTTAAGGAAGAATAATTAGATGAGCTTGACCAAACCTTTTGATCAGTATGAGAGTGAGCGCAGAAAAATCATTCATAAGTATTTATAATGTTTCGACTTCAAAAGTATTGTGCGAGCCATCACATTGTAATTTTCTAATAGTGCACGAACAACGCTTTCAATCATGATGCGGACCACAAAGAGGGAACGTACACAAGAAGTTCAACCGCAACTACCCAATGTGTAGATTATTGAGGAACATAGCTCCTCCGGCATGTTACTTTCAAGCTTCGGTGTCTCATCACATAATTCATCCTCTGAACAATGCATCCGAGAGCTAGAAGAGAAGATTACATCACAAGTGACAGATACAAAACTGGGAAATGACACATTTGCAGAAAGTCTAAATGTAGTACTTTGTGCACAGAAGCAGAAAATCAAAGAGCTCAAAAGGAAACAACAACAAGAAATAGAAATTGTGGATTGGGAGAGAAAAATCAGAGCCTTTGAAAAAAATCAACAAGAAATTGAGTGAATTCTTGGCCATCTCTCAAGAAAGTCATCTCGGTCTTGAGATGCACCAACAGCCTAAGATTTATAAGATCATCATAACCATAGCCCCTTGCACCAAGTCTTCACAAGGACTAGTATCAAAACTCGGAAAGAAAGGAGGCCGTAGATGGGAACCACATGCTCCCTGACCATGGGCCACGATAAATAATCAATAGCCTTCATTTAGTCGAAACATTATTTTATTTGTGATTCATTTAGTGAAACATTGTAGCACCATAAAAACAAATAAGACCGTGGGGTGTGCAGCTGCATCCAGTGAACTTGTGTTATAAAATGCAGATGGAGCATCATAGAGCAAACATGATACAAAGTGGAAGAGGAGTAGTAGGAGACAAAGAAAGTTGATTGACAATGTTCAGACCTGTCCTTTGGACAGAAGTCAAATGGCAACCTGTTCATGGGACTGAGAGTCGTGGGGAACTAGTTGTGTGTAACATTGCCTTGTCTTGCTGACCTTCTCTTCCGTTGTCCTTGTTCTGAGCTAGGCTAAGTAGCGAGCGGCAGCTCTTCTTCTATGTTTATTGTTCGTTCTTTAACTTTTGGTAGTATCGTGGCACTAGCACACGATCATTGTTAGCTAGATGCCTATTTTGAGATCGGTATGGCAATATAATTATGCCCGAGGATGGAGACGGGGTAGCTGGCCGAAGTACCACTTCTTGAGCACCAGCAACGGCGTCCTCGTCACTCAGCCTGTCACTGACCAAGTGTTGAACAAGTGCCATTGCCATGCACCCTCAGCCAAGCGAACTCAGTGACTTATGCAGTCAAAGCCAAGCAAGTTGGATTCTTCCGATTTACGCTTCTTTTCATCGGCCTAGCTTTGTTGCAGGAGGGACAATAATATATAGCGGTGCGCTTTCGACTCGCTCGCTCCAGTACTTGTAGTCCTCGCTAGGTGGTCTATGAACATGAATGGAATTTTTATTGCTTCTTGCGTTCTTTGTACAACCATGATGTTTGATGAATAGATTCGAAGTTTTTCCAAAAAAATAAACAAGCAGGAACCATCACCGAGCCAGTTAAACCACCTGCAGGATGTAGAGCAGTGACGTTCCCAGCGGGTTTTTTTTTCCAAACAAAAAAAAAATCCACTGGCGAAGGGGCATAATGTGGACGGTTAAGCTGCTGCAGAGGCTGGGGTAGAAACGAAGTGGCTGCAAGCAAGCTCTGCTCCAACCATATGTATCCACTCGTGATCATTCTAGTGTGTCATGTGAAGATGGCTGCAGTGCTCTCACCGTTGAATTGGTGGAGGAGTACATTAGTGGCAAACCCATCATACAGATCACCCGTACCCCCTCCATACCCACACACACTATCACTCAAAATCATGTAATGCAAAATGTCACCCAAGGCACAGGGGTCTAACTGTGAAGTTGCATCCCGCACAATCCCCGAGCCACGTGTGATGCCTCGCTCGCACGGTAAACTTTGTGGAATCTTGTCTCTGTATCATACATCGGCATAATACACTCAAATTGGTACTGGTGATTGTAGACTGAGACATTTCGACGATCATAATGGTCGTATTTTGAGGTTTCGTGAATAAAATGGCCAAACTGAACACCAAATCTAAGTTTAGATGGCATAGATGTATTTTTATACTTTAGATATTGTACACTTGTGTCTAATAAATCATCATTGTTTTTTTCTTGGATATTTAAGCTCCCTAATGAACAGTATTTCGTTTGAAATCTGAGTCATCAGATGCACTAACATCCTAAGATTTATATGATCGTAATAACCATAGTCCCTTGCACTAAATCTTCACAAGGGCTGGTATCAAAACTCGGAGGTAAAAGAGGCCGTAGATGGGAACCACATCTCCCTGACCATGGCCACAATAAACAATCAATAGCCTTCATTTAGTGAAAAGGTTGTAGCATCATAAATAAAAATAAATAAGACCATGGTGTGCATCTGCATCCAGTGAACTTGTGTTATAAAATGCGGACAGAGTATCACAAAGCAAACATGATACTGCCACGAAACCTATATAGTTCTTGCGAAGTGGAAGAGAAGTAAGAGAGGCAAAGCAAGTTCATTGACATGGCTCAGACCCGTCCTTTGGATGGGAGCCAAATGGCGACTCATAGGACCGAGAGACGTGGGGAACTACTTGTGTGCATCTTCGGCTGGTCTTGCTGACATTAATTCTCTTCCGTCTTGCAATGTGAGTTGAGTTCATGTGTGTGTGACCAAGAAACGTGGGAGTACCGTAGCACTAGCGCACTATCATTGTTTTGTTGGCTCAAGTCCGTTTTCAGATCATCATGGCAATATAAAACAAATTTTCACGCTTATGTATCTCAGCTTCTCCCTGAGAGACTTGACTTTACACCCGAATTATAAGTTCGCTCCCGTATTCGTGTCATGGAGCTGTGTGAGGTACCACCTCTTGAGCACCGCACCACGTCCCATGACTCAGCGTGTCACTAACCAAGTGTTGAACAGGTGCCATGACCATACACCCTCAGCCCAAGCGATCTCGGTGACTTACGCAGTCAAAGCCGAGCGCCGAGCAGGAACCATCACCACCGACCATCCTGTCCTGTCGAGCGGGAAGAAGGATCGGACCACCCGCAGGGTGTACTGTACAGCAGCAACGGTTTCCCAAACTCGGAGTTCTCATGCGCCAGCCATTGACAGCAAGTCGGCTGGCCAAGGGACGGGCAATTTGTCAAATTTGACCTATAGACGAAATTAAATCACAGAATGAACTGTCCGTGAAATTATTTCACGCGGTTGACCCGTGGCGCCTAGCTCTTAGGCGCTGCGAGCTAGGCGCTGCACTAGTGCAACGCCTAGGAGCTAGGCGCTACACTGTATAGTGTGGCGCCTAGCTCTCAGGCGCTGCACACCACTTAGTAATTTTTTGATCACACGTGTGCGACACTGGCCGTGTAGCGCCTATCTCTGAGGCGTTGCACAGTGTAGTGTGGCGCCTTCGTGGCGGGCGTCACACAAAAAGGTCAGCCGCGTGAAATAGTTTCACGGATAGTTCATTCTATGATTTGATTTCGTCTATAGGTCAAATTTGTCAAATTGGGGACATATTGTGGTTAAGCTGCTGCAGAGGCTGGGATAGAAATCAAGCAAGCTCTGCTCCGACCATATGCATCCACCCGTGATCATTCTGGTGTGTCATGTGAAGAGGGCTGCAGTGCAGTGCACTACTGTTCGATCCATCCTCACTTCCTGATTATGCTTCACACTTCTGTTTAACCTGTTTTCACCGGGAAGGACCGGCTTCTGCCAGTTAGTTGGAACTAACTGTTTCGTCCATGCACCTTTAACAAATTTGTTGTGTAGGGTAAAAGAGCATGCCACTACGAGTCGGAAGATTTCACTCGCAGTAGACAGACACCATTGAAGCACATGTTAACATCTTTGCCCCAAAGAGTAGCAACGCAAATCCCTGGACAACATCGGCTGTACATGGAAATCTAGGGGCTGTATCTTCCTCATCTATCAAACCTTAAGTTTTAATGTTCTTCTACCTGCTACAACAAACACAACAAAAACCATGGTGACCGTAATCCCGAGACCAAATGAGGCCACCTTCCACCAGGTAAAGCAACTCCAGGATTCGCAGACCGCATCTATCCAGTCCTGAAGAAAAAAATGGCCACAAGCACATAAGAAATGAGACCACCTGAGTAAAAAACTAGAAATTGTGCATGAAACAGGCTGTAAAATCAAATCAGAAAGGCTAAGATCATAATGGATTCACCAAGGCATGGCAAGATTAAGATTTGATCTATCATGCTTGTACTTAGTTTAACTGCTCATACTATGTATACACGTAGATTATATACACATTGAATGTCCTGAGTCCTGAATGCTTTTACCAAACAGGATGTCCTGAGTCCCTGAATTTGGGTACGGAAGGTTGAAGGGAGAACATACGTTTAGGGAGGAATAATTAGATGAGCTTGACCAAACCTTTTGATCTGTCAATTGTTTGTGTTGCACCACCATGGGATGCTGGCCTTCATATGAGCTTGACCGAACCATTTGATCTGCCAATTGTTTCTGCTGCACCACCATCGGATGCTGGCCTTTAAGCATAAGATGTTCTTGTTCAAAAATCTTCTTAGCATACTCATAGAGTTCCATGTCTAGGCTGTTCAGTGAGATAATTTGATTCAGAATTGCCTCAGGTACATGACGCCTTGCCTGGAAACAAAAAAGTGTAATCTTAGACTTTCACCAAACTTTACAGAGAATACAGGAATAGTTGAGAAACAAAACAATGTGTTCGCTGACATAGAATTAAACTGATTCAACAACTTAATTTGGAAACCATAGAGGACATCATTTGATAAGCACGTTATAAAATTGTGTCCTTTAATATTCCTGGTTCTCATGTATACTTATTTCCGGGTTCTGACACAAAGGAAAAAAGATTCAGGTATGTCATGATAATTTTTCAATGCCAATAACATAGAAGAAAAATGAATAAAAATTTCAAATCACAGGCATTTCATCCACTTCTATACTCACCGCCTTTGTAAAATTTGCCGCCTCAACCTTCTTTAGGGATATTCTGCGACGGCTAGATTGGGACTTTCGCAGTTTTGCAATGCAACCCTCGTAAGTTTCCATCAGTTTACCAACAGTCATCTGCCATCAACAATAACATCACGTTAGAGATGGCAAGATAACAATAAAGAAACTGTGAATATAAATGCACAGTTCGGGTAGATGTATTACATTTCCTTTTCCATGATCATCCTCAGTAGTGTTCAGAGCTTCATTATTTTTCCAGCCATGGGTGCTATTCTATCAGGAAAACAAAAAAAGTAAGTACAACTGTAAATATCCTAACCATCTTACGCAATGCAACAACTCAATTGTAAATCTTAGCCACCCTATTACCATATGTTCATTTGTTTCTTCATCCTCTGGATCCAGCATGGACGAGTGAGAGTCTGAGAAAAAAAGATAAAATATTAGATTCTTTGCTTTTGCACAAGTACATCCAAAAACTGGAGCACCACACAATAAGAACAGAGACAACACTATTGTCACTTTATGTCATTTCACAAAATTACTGGTTTAACAAAATACTGTTTTCGTGTCCAAATTGTTTAAATATGCAGCAAAGCTTCCTGGTAATAAAGTTTAGGTTTTAGGAAGGAACTCCTTCAAACAAATACGGCTTACACACGCTGCTGCACGAGAGCCTTCTTCCCACTTGGACGAGCATTGTTGAATGACATGTTGTCTTTTTAGGACTTATTCTTGCAACTCGCATGTCTTGTTATGTACCAACATCTAATTCTCCTTGCTTTATGAATTGTGAAAATAAAAATGTAGTTATGTATTGCTATTTAATTCATGGAAGTCTGATCCAACATATTGTTCTCTTATCTTTCAGATTTAACAGAAACAGAAATGAGGGGTTACTACTCTTCAGTTTATGAAGCTACTATATAACATGAGCACGACTTCTGCAGCTGTGTGATAAAGGAGAAAGGCTGCGAGCTTTCATGTTTTCGTACCGGTGCCACTGGGTTGATCTTCCTGAACATCTAACTTCAACGCTCCAGATTGTGAAAGCACTTGTGCTCCTACCATATGAGCGAACAACCTTGCAGATTCCTCATGATCCTCTGTAAGTCCTACGTACAGCATACGGTCCAGCCTGTTCTGTGATTGAAAATAATGATACTCATTACAGCAGGAAGAATTTAAGAAGTATAAATCTAACTTGGCTTAGGAAATGAAATGTAATATGGTTAACTAAATGTTAGTGGCATAGAGCTTATAGTCGCGATGCACAGATCACTGAATTTTGTATGCCAAAGAATGGAATTATGGATCTTGCACGTTGGCCAATGGAGTGCACATGGAAACAGTTTTCATGAATTGAACTGTTTGACTTTTGGTACTCCCTCCGTTTTTATTTACTCTGCATATTAGAGTTGACTGAAGTCAAACTTCGTAAAGTTTGACCAAGTTTATAGAAAACAATATAGACATTTATCATAATAAATCTACACGATGTGAAAGTACATTCAATAATAAATCTAATGTTATTGATTTGTTATTGTATATCTTAATATTTTTGTTTATAAGCTTGGTCAAAGTTTGTAAAGTTTGACTTTGACCAAAGCTAATATGCGAACTAAATAAAAATGGAGGGAGTATATACCTTAGCAACTTGAAGCACAAAACGACCAAGATCAGGGTGCTTTCTAACACAATGTCGAACCTCATGTGCGCCATTGAAGTAAGAATTATTTGTTAGCCCAGTGATCTGCCGAGGTAACATGGGAAAGCAAAAAGAAATATTAGCAGCCACATTTTTTAAGCTGAACATCATACAAGGACCCTGGGACAATGGTACACTGCATATGGCACTGGGACATTGAAATGAAAAAAAATGCTTACTTAATGACCGAATGTTGACGTTATTCACGAAAAAGGAGCAAAGAAATAAAATCTAAGTTTATTTTCCACTTCATTTTGAAAAAGCACAGGTATTTAGTAAACGAGTGGTTGCACATGCAGCACATTTCGCCATTTCACTTTGGAATTAAGCCTTATCAAATGCTTATTTGGTCTACCAGTCAGCTGGCAGAAATGAATAAAGTGGATTAAATAATGTTTGCAAGTACATACATAAGTTTAATTGGGCAAGTCCATCATGTTTCTCTGTTTTACTTTCAAATGACGACAAGCATTTAAAGGAATAGTGCATCTTAGCCAATGGTCACACATTTATCAAAGATTGTGGCATTTATACATTTAATAATAAATTTCGTGTAGAGTACACCTTAGTCAACAACTCAATGGTCACACATTGACTGAAAATAGTGGAGGTATATACAATTATCAAAGTTTCCAGTACACAACGAAATACAACAGAGAGTAAACAAGTAAAGGCATAGACAGCAATGCTGTCACAGAAGTTTGCATACCTGAAAGGTAGCTCCATTGTGAATGATTTCATGGGCAACAGGGTCATTGATGTACTGGTGCAATGGCATAACCATGTCTTCCACATCGTATGCATTAATCTTCTTGCTACTTGGCACGCTGTCATTCCCTCTAGCATCTCTCTGACAGATGAAAAAATCTCTTATCTTATTGCAAGAACATATGCAATTGATAAACCATACATTAGCTCTATGTGTTAACTAATTCCAAAATATATCTGAAGACACATTCCTAACCATTCACATCAACTGAAGTATAACTAATAGTTAAGCTCAAGGCATAACACTAATACCCTACAAAGCACGGACACGGCTGGAAGTGCCGAACTGCCGTTCTAATACGGCAGGATACGGGGATACGCCGGGATACGCGAACTTTGCATTATCCCCCGAATTTCGATTTTAAAGAAAGAAAAAAATGCAGGGATACGCCGGGACACCTACGGGATACGTTTGGGACACGGCCTGGCCCAAAACAGCATCGGCCCAACCCAGTATACCTAATCTATTTTGCAGGCCGCACGCTCTCGTCCCTCCCTCCCAGCCTCCCAGGTCGCACTGTAACGCGCCGCCAGCCTCCTGGATCGAAGCCGCCGCCGCCTGGACTCCTCGTCGCCGCCGCCTGGATTCGACCAGCAACCGCTGGCGCTACCCCCAGCCTCGCAGGTAACCCATCAGCCTCTCCCATCTCCTCTTTCCTCAACCTCTTCCTCTTTTATTCTTCAGATTTGCTTGTGCTGCTGCTGCTCATGCTTGTGCTGCTGGCCTGCTGCTGCTCATGCATGTATTGTCTTCCAATTATGTCTTGCCTTCTAATCTTCTTTACTGTTTGTGTTAGATGCGTTTTGCAAGATGGATGCAGCTTGCAATGACAACATTACATGGGGGGAAGAGGATCAATCAAGCACTTGATAAAAGAGACACCAAATGGGGCACTATTCTCTATTCTGACCTCTTTCTCATTAATTTTCGGTCTTAAATGTATATTACATGGCATATTTTTATTTTATTTTATATATACTCGCCGTATCCCCGAATGGCTGTTTTTAAAAATGCCGTATCCCGTATCCCCGTCTTTCCGTCCCCGTGTCCGTGCTTTTTAGCTAATACCCCGATCGACCCAGGTGCCGTGTAACATAAGGATAAGGGACCACACTTGAAACCCTCCCTGTAACAACTCTAAGAGCTGATCCTAACAAAGTTTCAAATATGGAGACACTACCAATATATACAGAAAAAGGGCTTGATAATCAGATCCAATATATATTGCTAATCATTCTTTCTTGAAAAGATGGAAGTAAGCATACCCTGGCGAAAAGATCTTCTCTCATCCATGGAACCAAGTATTTCCAAGGCCATATGTCCAGTGTACTTACAGCACGTGATTTTGTTAACACACGGCTGGTCATTGTCTTGGCAGATGTTAAGTTTGGATGCACAAGAAATCTGGCTGCAACTTCCACGGAGAACTCATACGTGCTAAACACACGATCAACTGGATTCCTTAGTATTGTCACCACGGAAGTCCTCTCCCTTGGCAGCTTTGAAGTTAAGCTATAGTCATCATGGCTAACAACCAGCGTGCAATCAGGATGGCTGACATGAAGGCAAAAAAATACCATTAGTAACTAGAAAAAGTTTGCAACTGTACTTGTGCGTTATAACTGAACACTGCATCTATACCAACAAACTATCTCACAGGCTCACAATTTGTTGGCATAACGCGTACAAGAGTCACAATCCATGCAACTTTTCAATTACCAACTTCAAATTATAGTGCTTAAGAACATGCCGGAATGAAGTAACAGAACATTTAGCCAGGTAAGCGCCAGAATGGCATTCCAATATATATGAAAATATCCTGAACCATAGGCACTGCAGGCATCATGACGAAAATCTGAAAAATTAACATAGCACTTTCTAAGCACTGTTTACAGACAACAGAGCTGTTGTTCCTGTTTGGCTAGTCAACATGAAGTTTCAAGATAAAACCCAGATGACAGACCCAACTCGGCAAAGCAGAGAACAAAATCTCCTCACCTTGGGTCGAACCGCAGCTTATCATAGGAGCGGGGGCATTCCTGAGCATTCGTATACAGCTTCTTCAAGAAACTGCCAAGCAACAGTATCAGTATAACACAATCGTAGATGGGGATGAACCAGACAGTTAAGAGGTCCAGCTCCAGCGAACCTACCAGTGGAAGTAGGTACGCCCACCGGTTCTGGGAATGTGAAGGAAGAAGAGCAAATCCTTGAGGTTCAGTTTGTCGCCGCCATTGTCGCCCTCCCCGACTGAGTCCGCCCAGCCCTTGACGGCCCCCTCGCAGCGCGCGTAGTCGTCAGCGGAGCTGGCGAGAGGAAGCACGGTCGCTGCAACACCAAAGACGACCGCCATCACCATCGTGAAAATCAGAGCAGAGCGCCGTGATTTCGCCAGAGTAATTCAACGGAGAACGATCCTACCAACACGAGGGATGCAGGGAGGGGATACCTGACATGGCGAGGAGGAGCGCGAGGGCGAGACCCAGGCCGAGCGGCCGCGCCATGGATTCGGCCGGCGGGCTCCTCCGGCGCGCAGATCCGAGGCGCGGCGCGGCGATTGAGGAGAGGACGAGGACTAGGAAGCGGGAGCGAAGCAGCGAAGGAACCGGGGGAGGGGGGCGAGGGCGCACGCACGCTTAAAACGGGAAGGTGGGTGGGGTGGGGGCGGAGACGGAAGGATCGAGAGGGGGGGCGGGTGGCGGCGGGGAATTCAGCGCGCCGTGCCGGCGGGGAGGCGGCCTCGGCACCGGCGCCCCGGCATCCGCCGCTTTCCTCGCCCCAACTTTTCCCCCTATCCCTCGCCTCGCCTCGCCTCGGCCCGTGCGGTGGCGCCCCTTGTTTATTCTCCCTCGCGCGCTCCCCGCAGTCTGGTGCCGGTCGCTCTCTCTCTCTTTCTGTGCTCGGGCGGAGGGGAGGGGATGGGTGGCAGCGTGGTGCGCCGGCGGGGAGGCCGAGGCCGGGGCGGGCGTGGATACACAACTCCTAGTGGTGGTGGTGCGGTGGTGGCCCGCCCGTGCGGGTGGGGGTGGTGGTGGCGTTGGAAAGCGCGGCGGAAAGGTGGGCGGATTTCCTCGCCACTTGCGCCGCCACGCGATGGTGCCGGCCGTCCCTCGGCCCGGTTTCCGATCGCTCACGGCTCTCCGGCGAGGCGGGTGCGGTAGGAGTGTTCGTCTGCGGTGGCGCGACACGTCGTCGTTGTATTAATCTCGTGTTCTGCGCGCCATTAATCCTGGATGGATCATGAGGGCATTGATGAATGAATTAACTCCCACTGAGAACCTGCCCCGGATAGAATGTTCAGAACACATGAAAAACGAAAAAAGAGGGTAAATTACACCTTTTTATTTACATTTATTTAAGATAACATTAGGGGTGAAACCGGCCGGATTTGGACGGATGATCATTATATTATACTGTAATAATCATATTTCATATTTATTTTCGGATGTGGTTACGAATACCGGATTATGCGGATTCGAACACCGGATTATGCAAATTCGAAAATGGTATGGTAATCAAACGACGGCGGGCCGGATCGATCATTTACGTATTCATGATATGCTTTAAACCAAAATTATACATAAACATTGAGCAGATATTATGTTATTAAAATGAGCCAAATAAATCACTAGCAAGTACTCCCTCTGTACCGAAATAGTTGTAGCTGGAGTAGCTGGGAGTAGTATATGTCTTGTCTCATGTGCAAAGATATCATTCACGCATTGCTAGTCAATACTTAAAACTTCTCCCAGAAATCGGATTTGGAATTTAGAATATCAGATTATCCGATTACAAATAATGGATTATCCTACCATGTCGTATATTTGCAATATATCCTATCAATCATAATCGGATTTAGATCAGATTGTTGTATCTTATTGTATCCTTGTCTCTTATTATATCCTATAAAAATGGTTTCGAATGAAAAATATCGTAACCACTTTCACCCTTAGATAAGATTGAGTTTGTGACACTTTTTTACCATTGATTAACAGAAATTCCAACAGAGTACACTGTCTTAGCAAGTTTGTTCATGTTTTTACCCCTTTTGAAAAGCTACCCCGTTCTATGGGGTATGTTCGAAAAAACTATCTCAAGTGGAACGATGGGTCGGATGCCCATCAATGGCGCATTCCTACGAGAAGCTTTTGACGTCGGATAGGTTGTGGGGCGATGCCGGTTCTTTTTTAGCAGACTTTGCCGAATCCAAGCCTAGAAAATCAAAACCATTAGCAAACTCGATTTGACATGAAAAATCTCGAGAGAATCCTGGAGATCCCAGTGTAACTTAAAATCCTAAAAAAAGAACTAGATTCTCAATATTCTGGCCACCCCGCAGAAGATTTTCAAGCATGACTGACTTCCCCAACTTGTTCTAAACCATGTCTGATCTAGTCCTCTATCCCAAGATGAATTAGGAATTTGGTGTTGGAAATATGCCCTAGAGGCAATAATAAATTAGTTATTATTATTATATTTTCTTGTTCATGATAATCATTTATTATCCATGCTATAATTGTATTGTAAGGAAACTCAGATACATGTGTGGATACATAGACAACACCATGTCCCTAGTAAGCCTCTAGTTGACTAGCTCGTTGACCAATAGATGGTTACGGTTTCCTGACCATGGACATTCGATGTCGTTGATAACGGGATCACATCATTAGGAGAATGATGTGATGGACAAGACCCAATCCTAAGCCTAGCACAAAGATCGTAGTTCGTATGCTAAAGCTTTTCTAGATGTCAAGTATCATTTCCTTAGACCATGAGATTGTGCAACTCCCGGATACCGTAGGAATGCTTTGGGTGTACCAAACGTCACAACGTAACTGGGTGGCTATAAAGGTGCACTACAAGGATCTCCGAAAGTGTCTGTTGGGTTGGCACGAATCGAGACTGGGATTTGTCACTCCGTGTAACGGAGAGGTATCTCTGGGCCCACTCGGTAGGACATCATCATAATGTGCACAATGTGACCAAGGGGTTGATCACAGGATGATGTGTTACGGAACGAGTAAAGAGACTTGCTGGTAACGAGATTGAACAAGGTATCAGGATACCGACGATCGAATCTCGAGCAAGTACAATACCGCTAGACAAAGGGAATTGTATACGGGATCGATTGAGTCCTTGACATCGTGGTTCATCCGATGAGATCATCGTGGAACATGTGGGAGCCAACATGGGTATCCAGATCCCGCTATTGGTTATTGACCGGAGAACGTCTCGGTCATGTCTGCATGATTCCCGAACCCGTAGGGTCTACACACTTAAGGTTCGATGATGCTAGGGTTATAAAGGAAGTTTGTATGTGGTTACCGAATGTTGTTCGGAGTCCCGGATGAGATCCCGGACGTCACGAGGAGTTCCGGAATGGTCCGGAGGTAAAGATTTATATATGGAAAGTCCTGTTTTGGTCACCGGAAAAGTTTCGGGTTTTATCGGTAATGTACCAGGACCACCGGGAGGGTCCCGGGGGTCCACCAAGTGGGGCCACCGGCCCCGGAGGGCTGCATGGGCCAAGTGTGGGAGGGGACCAGCCCCAAGTGGGCTGGTGCGCCCTCCCACAAGGGCCCAAGGCGCCTAGGGTTGGGGGAGGGGGCGCACCCACCTAACTTGGGGGGCAAGTTCCCCCTCTTCCCCCCCTTGGCCGCCACCCTAGATGGGATTGGGGGCAGCCGCACCCCTTGGGGTGGAAACCCTAGAGGGGGCGCACCCCCTCCCTCTTCCCTATATATAGTTGAGGTCTTGAGGGCTGCCAACATGATGAGTTTCTCTCCCTCTTGGCGCAGCCCTACCTCTCTCCCTTCTCCTCTCCCGCGGTGCTTGGCGAAGCCCTGCAGGATTGCAACGCTCCTCCACCACCACCACGCCGTTGTGCTGCTGCTGGATGGAGTCTTCCTCAATCTCTCCCTCTCTCCTTGCTGGATTAAGGCGTGGGAGACGTCACCGGGCTGTACGTGTGTTGAACGCGGAGGTGCCGTCCGTTCGGCACTAGGATCTCCGGTGATTTGGATCACGACGAGTACGACTGCTTCAACCCCGTTCTCTTGAACGTTTCCGCTTAGCGATCTACAAGGGTATGTAGATGCACTCCCCTCTCTCTCGTTGCTAGTTTCTCCATAGATAGATCTTGGTGACTCGTAGGAAAATTTTGAATTTCTGCTACATTCCCCAACAGTGGCATCATGAGCTAGGTCTATTGCGTAGATTCTTTGCACGAGTAGAACACAAAGTAGTTGTGGGCGTTGATTTTGTTCAATATGCTTACCGTTACTAGTCCAATCTTGTTTCGACGGTATTGTGGGATGAAGCGGCCCAGACCGACCTTACACGTACACTTACGTGAGACAGGTTCCGCCGACTGACATGCACTTGGTGCATAAGGTGGCTAGCGGGTGCCAGTCTCTCCCACTTTAGTCGAAACAGATTCGATGAAAAGGGTCCTTATGAAGGGTAAATAGCAATTGACATATCACGTTGTGGTTTTTGCGTAGGTAAGAAACGTTCTTGCTAGAAACCCATAGTAGCCACGTAAAACATGCAAACAACAATTAGAGGACGTCTAACTTGTTTTTGCAGGGTATGCTATGTGATGTGATATGGCCAAAAAGAATGTGATGAATGATATGTGATGTATGAGATTGATCATATTCTTGTAATAGGAATCACGACTTGCATGTCGATGAGTATGACAACCGGCAGGAGCCATAGGAGTTGTCTTAATTTATTGTATGACATGCGTGTCATTGAACAACGCCATGTAATTACTTTACTTTATTGCTAACCGGTAGCCATAGTAGTAGAAGTAATAGTTGGCGAGACAACTTCATGAAGACACGATGATGGAGATCATGATGATGGAGATCATGGTGTCATGCCGGTGACGATGATGATCGTGGAGCCCCGAAGATGGAGATCAAAAGGAGCAAAATGATATTGGCCATATCATGTTACTTTTTGATTGCATGTGATGTTTATTATGTTTATGCATCTTATTTGCTTAGAGCGACGGTAGTAAATAAGATGATCCCTCATTAAAAATTCAAGAAAGTGTTCCCCCTAACTGTGCACCTTTGCGAAAGTTCGTCGTTTCGAAGCACCACGTGATGATCGGGTGTGATAGATTCTAATGTTCACATACAACGTGTGTAAACCAGATTTACACACGCGAAACACTTAGGTTGACTTGACGAGCCTAGCATGTACAGACATGGCCTCGGAACACAAGAGACCGAAAGGTCGAGCATGAGTCGTATAGTAGATACGATCAACATGAAGATGTTCACCGATGATGACTAGTCCGTCTCACGTGATGATCGGACACGGCCTAGTTGACTCGGATCATGTAATCACTTAGATGACTAGAGGGATATCTATCTGAGTGGGAGTTCATAAGATGAACTTGTTCATCCTGAACATAGTCAAAAGGTTTTTGCAAATTATGTCGTAAGCTCGCGCTTTAGTTCCACTGTTTAGATATGTTCCTAGAGAAAAT